TCTCTCCCTCTCTCTCATTCTCTCCCTCTCTCTCATTCTCTCTTCCTCTCTCTCATTCTCTCTCCCTCTCTCTCCCTTTCTCTTTCTCTCTTATGTATATATATATATATATATATATATATATATATATATATATATATATATATATATATATACATATATATATATATATATGATATATATATATAATACATATATATATAATATATATATAATATATATATATATATATATATATATATATATATATATATATATATATATATATATATGTATATATATATACGATATATATATATATACGATATATATATATATACGATATATATATATATATATATATATATATATATATATATATATATGTATATATATATATATATATATATGTATATATATATATATATATATATGTATATATATATATATATATATATATGTATATATATATATATATATAATATATATATATATTATGATATATATATATGTTATAATATATATATATATATTATGATATATATATATATGTTATAATATATATAAATATATTATGTATGTATATATATGTGTGTGTGTGTATGTATGTAAGTTATATAAATGTATATACGTATGTATGTATGTCTCTCTCTCTCTCTATATATATATAAATGTATATATATACTTGATATAAATGTATATGCATGTATGTATGTCTACGTATATTATATTATGTATATATATATATGAAAATGTTTATTTATTCATGAATATATATGTATATGATTATAAGTATATATATATATATATATATATATATATATATATATATATATATATATATATATATATATATATATATATATATATATAAATATTTATTCTTTTTCATATTCGAAAGCCATGGCCCGGCAGTCTATCATCTATTGTTGTATATCTTGTGTAAAATAGCGCAGGCTGTTCCACGAGCGCGCCATGAGCCCCGCGCCTCATGGCACAGGCACATGGCACCGTGTACACAAGCCCGGCCGTAGTGACAGGCGGCAAGCCCAGCGCGGCGCTACTCCGTCACAACCGCCTTTTATTGCGAAGGCGGTCTGCTGCGTCTGTCTGTCTGTCTGTATGAAGGAGCCAATGATTTCTTCGCCGTGTTCGCCGCCTCCCCCGCCGCTGCAGTCATGTGAAACGGGAAACACCACAGACCGACACGCGCTTTTGCGCACATACGCATACGCTCAAGTGCACACACGTACACAACATCCCGACTCATGCAACAAATCATGCAGTCTCAATATGACATGGCTTATGTCTCCCTTGTTGGGAATTCGGTGGAGTTCGGAGCTGGAGTTTAGCTGTTCATTATTTGAGTCGAGGTCTTGAAACGGTTGCAATTGTTTGGTTTGGATGTGATATGTAATGCTACATCTCTGACGTATACAAAGTTTGAATTGTTGAGTGTGCACGAGTTGAGATGCAGCCGTTGCGCTTCGGCCAAGTGGCGGCATGGAGCCAAACGCGCCACCATAGGGATAAATATATATGGATATAGTTTCCGTCAAATCCGGACATTTGCGTATTGTCGAAGTTAAACGCACCCTTCAGGCATTTCACCATGCAATATACGTCATTATGATGCATAAATAAGAGAAAACGCATGTTAAAAACGTGATCAGCGTCTGTGTGCTAGGTTGCCACGTTGTGCGACCCACTGACTTAGTACACTTGACCCACTTCCCGTGCAGGTTGGCAACGTCGCGCTGCGGCTGCCACACGTCGCCAGCATGTCAATACTGCAAGAGGAAACTTTTACTTATTCACCCACGCGAGAACGCCGAGGCCATGAAAACAACTAATGTGTTGAGAGAAAATGAAGACCTTGAGGACCAGAACGTAAGCGGATGAGCAAAGATATAGCAAATATATGTTGGAAAATGTGCCGTTGCCAGCTTGTGCTTATGACTTCCACGGGACATTTTGGCACTGTTTCAAAGAGCCCCAAGGCACTGAATCGAGCCCGCCTTGCAATGTACTGCACCAAAGGAGTGTTGGAACCTATTGCATAATTCGGGATTCTTTTAGAGTAACTCCTTCGGTGTTTTGAATGGTTTCGGCAAATGGACCGGTTAATTAATTGTCTTCCGTAATAAAAAGAAACGGAGATAAACGCTGGATAATCGAGAAAAAGTAACAACCATTGTGTGACGTATTGTACATTATTATTATTATTATTATTATTATTGTTATTATTATTATTATCATCTTTATTGTTATTATTATGTTTGATATTAAATAACAATGTACGTATTATGTAGCATTATATTAGAAACGGAAATAAGGTTGGAAGTCTGTGTAAAAGCAGCGCATTATTGATTTTTAAATAAATGACAAAATATTATTTGTTACCTGCATAAGTATATATATATATATATATATATATATATATATATATATATATATATATATATATATATATTTAAAACACACACACACACACACACACACACACACACACACACACACACACACACACACACACACACACACACACACACACACACACACATATATACACATATATACACATATATACATACACATACACATACACATACACATACACATACACACACACACACACACACACACACACACACACACACACACACACACACACACACACACACACACACA